AGCGGAGATGCCTTTAACAGGGGAAAATGGACCAAGTAGATTAATTGGACTCTTCCATCTTTCCACTTTTTTTACTTTCTCCCTCTCTCTCTCTTGCCCGAAACAAACATGTGCTAGAAGGAGACAAGCAGCGAAAAGAGAGATGAGAGCAGAAAGAGAGAGGTACAGGGGGATAAGGGCAGTGAAACGACGGGATGGCCCGGGGGCGAGCTTTTTGCCGAACACATAATGCATAGCGAAGGATGACACCCTTATCTCGTGATCTTTAATTCCGTGAGTCGCCGCGAGGGGGTTGCCGCCGCATCGTCATTTGTCGGTGGCATTGCGACGGAATCGGGGGATGGACAAGGGGGGTAGAAAGGGAAAGGATGGGGCCCGCCGGCCGGGCGGATAAAACCGCCACCGCTGTTAACATCACTGTCGGATGCGAGAGAGGAGAGGGGTTTGGAAATTGCCTTGGCTGATTTCATTTCGGGCCAGATTATTTTAAGGGGTTCCGTTCTCCCTTTCGTTTCTAGTCTCGCACCGCCCTTGGCCCCCCCTTGCGTCGCCGCCGCCCCCGTCTGCCTTCAACGTGATTAATGCGACTCTGAACGTGGACGTTGACGATGGTGTTGGTGCTGGACTGTGGTGGTGCTGGTAGCAGCGGTGCGGTGGTTCGAGGGTTGAGATGACGAGTCGCGGCTACTCGCGCGACGTCGGATTAATTCGCTCGGGCACGCACCGGAAGCGAGCCGAGATTGTTAACCCCTTCCGGCCAAAACGCATTAAAGGTGGATATTATTTTTGATAGCATCTTCACCGATGAATAGCGTGGAGTACGAATTAAAACAACTTCTGGGCCGTTCCCAGAAAAATTAATTAAAGTCAACTGAGTCTCCTAGTGCTATCTTTGAACTGCATCGCATAATTTATTATGACGTAGAGTTTATTAACCCGAAAGTGTGATTTTCAACTGAAAAAAAATCAATAGCGTTACGTGCCCAATGTAATTACACCATGTACATACACTGTTAGATATCAAAAGAGCAATGGTAACTCAATCCCTTCGGTTAAATAACATTTTGTTATTTTTAATTTCCATATGTCAAAATATAAATCGAGCTATTTCTGTGTTTTAAAATAATTAGTTTTAAAATAAACAATGCCTATACTGACGTATGCACTTAATAAATAATAAAATTAAGTCAAATTTAATGTATTTGAATTAAATTGTTTAATTTCATTGTTTTAATTAAATTAGTGATATAATAAAATAGAAACAATGCCAATCTATAAAAATTGTTGAAAATAATTTAAATTGCCCTTACAGAAATCTAGTACTGGTCAATAGTGAAAGACAATAATTAATTACTTATTTTAAATATTAGAAGCATCGTTGTTTTAGTATTCCAAATAAGAACTTAATTTCATATCTTTTAGTAATTGGCCAGTATTAAATTTTTATAAGGGTGGATGTAATTTGACATTTGACATGAATTTAACAGAGTATCATACAGACGCATTCTGTCTTTATCTCTTTTTTTTATGTTTAAATTTCCGTATTTATGTCTCAACGCTCCATGGAAAGTCCCAGAACGTTAAACAAATAACGATTTATCATCTCTCTTCAATTGCAAATCTAGTAAAATCCATCAAATAAAGCGATTTCGTGATTTGGGTTGCCATAAGCTTTGACCAAACAGTTAATTGCGATGCTTTTTATTAGACCGAACGACAGTTTTTTTTTTTATTGCGAACAGCGGATGTAACGGCATGACGCGACCGATTGTGGGTCACTCAGCGAGCAATTCTAAAAATGAAACAGCCCATCAAGCGAAACGACCTCGTAACGCAATCGCGACGGCATAAGTTTTCAGTTATGGGTTCGCTTCCGCGTCGTAACGGAGCCGCCCGGCGTTTCGGAGGCGCGTATCCGCGAGTTTTAAGGAGTTCCATGTCCCATTATAAAGTCTTCACCGCGCATAATACCATTCGGATCTGCAGGCTGGCGGGCATTAGGGAAATCGCGTTTCCACCCTTCTCGTATTAGCTTGGCGCCACGCGAGAGAGCCGGCTACCATTTCTCCTGCCTCAACTCCCTTCGTTCCCGCCACATTGTGTTCACGCGTTGAATGAGACCTTCGATCGGATTTGGTTCCACGCGTCTCAAACTTACCTCGATTTTGACTCCTCGTGGCACAACAAAAAAAAGACAGATTGTCGGATGGGGAGTGGAACGAAGAAGCTGAGCTGGAAACCGAGGAGAGGGTGATGGCGAAGGTTGAAGAGGCGACGTCCTGGACGCAGAATGCGCACAGGATCTGTCGGTATGTCGGAGATCAAGTCGTAGATCCTCTCGACTGGAAATGATAAACGCTCTTGGAATACACCAGGTTGTATTTATAAGAATGTTATATTTTCTCGGTAGTAATGGGAGCTGCCTTCCCCCCTCGCGGGGGTTAGGCAGTCGTTAATATTATTAATAGAGCCCTAGGTAAGTGATATTATATACAGATGGATAAAAAATGGGAAAGTGTCGTCCCCCGTCTCTTCTCTGTCCTACGTAGGGAGACAGTGTCCTCTTCGCCCCGTACTGCTTGCCTCTGTCGTCCGACCTGTTCCCCTCCGCCGTGTCGCAGGACTTTGTACTAACACGATGCGACAGTCGTCGGGTTCGATCCATTGTTCTTCGAATTTGTAAATGTTCGATGTAAACTAATTTCCCGTTACGCGTACTTTCTCTCAGATTTCGCGCGCTTTGTCAAATTATGAGCGAATGTCGCTTCATTCGAATTTAGAGAGCATCTTTAATTATTATTTTAATAACTGTAATGATAATTTTTCGTCCCTTTCAGCATAAAAAGATTAAGGCTCATCTATATCAAAGCAGATTAATTTTAACCTTGGCTTAACTTACTCTTTGTCTTTTTTTAATTTTTAGAAGGGAAGAGCCAAGTAGTATACACACGGATTTTGCCTAACTTTACATATATATGTTTAGTATATTTATTAATAAATAAGTGGCACGAAGGAATATTAATGTATTCGTAAGGAATTTACGTCGAAAGTTTCTATTGAGCTTTTTTCGATGTCAATTTTTGTAGTATGTGCATAGTGAATAATTATTTGTCAAATTTCTCGAAGAAATGATAGAGGCCGTGTCCCCGACACAACCAAATCTACATAACCTTTGGAAAATTTTAGCGGGTACACAATGTAATTATGCAATGCATGTAGTAGAAAAATTATTATTTTATAATTATAACATTATTTTTTAACGCATATATGAGTAATATCGAACATGCACAATTTATAATTAAAAATTCCAAAACTTTTAATGTTCACCACTTGTTTATGAATTAGTGGGGGTAGCTACTAAAACAAATTTAAAGTTAAATGTGTGTACATACTATTTGGTCTCCCTTTATTAAAACTAGAAAAAAAATAAAATTAAACTAAAATTAAAGTTAATCTACATTGGTAAAAATGGACGTAAGATTTGTAATACGAATCACTGAATCATGATAGTATCCATCAAAATAAAAAAGTGTCGCTACCTATGATATAGAAGAGTAGTGCATTACAGTTATTTTCAAGCGCAACCGGCCGCGAACGAGAGAAAGCCCGGATGTAACGCGGGAATGAGACGGACCGGTATTTCCGGCGTCGCGGGAAATTGCTCACAGTTAATAGCGTTACGAGCTCGCAGTTAATAATGCCGCGGCGGCAAACGTGGCAGAGAGCGTTTCCGCCGGTCTCCTTTCTGATCTCCGTACGATTACGAATGTATGCCGTTTGGCGTTTGGTATAGATAAGCGCCGCCTGTATTTTTGGCATTAAAGCGTTAAAGCTAAGTGACTAAGCCCCTCGCTCTGCTCCGATGGGAGCTTGCGACTCTCGGACAGCGGCGGCTTATGAAATACTTAAAAACCTCCAGCTGTAAATCACTTCAAGTCTCTCTCTATTTTGCTATCGTTAACGAGAATTTAAAATCATATGAATTAAGTAAGTATTGTCAATGGCGAACAATTACATCGCTCATTTGCTGCAACAATAATTAAAAAAGTGAAATTTTTTAGAAAATAAGTTTGAACATTTTGAATTATTAAGTCTTGAATTTTAATAAATTTAAATTTTATAATATTAACTTTTAAATGCAATTTTTTTATAATAATTGATTATAAAAGTATTTTGTCTTTTTTCTTTATGTTTTCTCTCTTTTTGCAAGCGACGAAGATGACAACTTTTTCTAGCCATGTTGTAGTAAATAAGCGATACTTTATCGTCGCAATAATAACGTGCTTTGCTAAATCGTCTGTGAATTTCGGAAGTCCAAGCAACGATAATCCGCCACTGCTTTTCGCCGTCGAGAGCAGCTGAAGCTTACAAAAAATAATTCGCCGTGACGCGTCGGGCTGTCTGAAACTGAATCTTTCCGCGGCGTTCGCTCCGAGGGGTTCTTAACCTAATGTCTTTAATTAATCTTTGGTATCGGCTGTCACGTGAGCCGATCGCGTCCAACTCGCGACGTAACACATAACAGAAATTTCACGAGACTAGAAGGGCCACGAAGAAGAAACCGACCGATGCTACGGGACGATGGAAAGTTTAGCGTTAATCTTTGAGTATCCCGAAGATAGTTGGAGATACCACGCTGCCCCTCTTCTTTTTCCAATTCTAAAATAAAGTAAATATTCCAACGACTGAATTAATAAGAAAGTATAATCCGTTGTATTATTATCGATTATTAGTTAGTAGCATTAAACCAAGAATTTAATATGAAACTTGTTGATAATCGAATAATATACTCTCATATAGGTAAATCTAAAAATTAAGGTGGGCAAATACTTTAAATGTTTTTATTACTTATTATGGTATAAAATATTTGACCACTTTTAATTTTGCCATTTTCTTGCTATTATTGATAAACATTTTATATACACAATAATTACAAACATATTCTTAATTTTTCAGTCACATTCAGTTTATTGGAACATTTACCTTATAAAGATGACCGTCTTGTTTCCTTTCCCTTTCGTGGATGCCTGCTTTCGGCCGGCTGTAAAACGGGAGATTGCGGGACTATGGCACGTGTTACAGAACCCCTCGCGTCCCTTTCGCTCTTTTCGCTAAGGTCCCTCTTCCTTCGAATCCGGCGCTTCTACGTCCTTACACGTGGACGACGGCGGTTATCACGAGTGGGACGAGAGTTATCTCGGTGGGCGTGCGTATACTGGTAATTGTTTCGTTCTCTCTCTTTCTCACTTACGCGTAGTCGAATACGACACATATATTTACAGAACGACTCCGCTGCTTGCACACCCGCGTACGCAATTCTCGCACAGATCCACATTCACTCCCATCTCGCTAAAGAAATATATCTTACATGAATTATCTAATTTATCCTTATGTGTGTGTCAAGTGTCATGTCGTATCTTACAAGACGCGTACGTGCATTGGCAAACAACGCAAAAGTCTGAGAGACGCTTGAAAGACGTCTGAAGAATTTTACGATGTCATTTAAACGTTTGCGATGCCCGGAAGGAGTGTATGTGTATGTATGTGTATGCGCTTGAGAGTTTAGTGTACGTTCTGTATGCCTGCGTAAATACGGTGTGTCGAGCTCCAGCTCGCGCCACGCGCGTGTTCTACACTGTATTAACATTAACTTCCATTAAATTTGTGTTCATTTTCCACGATCACAGTGATTTCAATCTCCCAAGACCCATCACTTTGTCCACAAAGCCTCGGATTCCACTTCGGAGTTCATCCAATTCCTCGCGCGTATGACGTATTTCCGTCGCTCCCTCTCTTATTCACATCCCTCGCCCGGTTTCTCTATCGTCCCTTTCAACCCTTTTTTTGTTCAATCTGTCATTCTTAGTGGTACAACGTATACCTTTCATCTGCTTTTCCGTTGCCCGGAATCTACAGATTATATTCCACGAGCGAAGAAAACTCCTCTTTTAATAACCGCTGAGACACCTGAGCTTCTTCAGAGGCGGCGAAGCCTCGTTTCAGCTGGTTGGCGCCTGCATGGACATCGGGGGTGGCTTCACGGGTCCGAGGGCGGGTCCAGACAGACCGTTGTTGTTCATATCACCCGGTGCCCTCGGTCCGCCGACCCCTATAGTCGTCCCGTTCATCGTCGGCGTGCCGCCTGACATTTGACCCTGAAGTCATAAAAGATTCACGAGACGTGAGACGTCATTTTCACGTTGCATTAGCGATCATCGTAAGTTCCGATTGCTATACTGATTGTGAGAAAAATATTCCGATTTTATCAACACAAGAAGTATAAACAAAGTAAATTCTGATTATCATAATTGAATTTATAGTTATCTTGGCTAAAATTTGATATATATAACTGTAAGAGAACTTTCGAGAACAAAGATAAGATATTAATTTTACATGTCTACTTGTATAAGTGTGATTAAATTTATTAAAATTATAAAATTTCTTTTCTAGTGCACTAAAAAAAAATACTAAATGTATATTTGTTTGAATAAATATATATATATTTGTATGTTAAAAAAAGATACATATATTTGTTCGAATAGAATACTAAATAAATATTTACGAAATAAATACTAACGAAATATATTAATTGATTTAACCATCACTTTTTTTATTGGATAAGTGTTTATTATTGTACACGGAAAAAAACAATTTTATTGAAGTATTTAATAATTTAGCTAGATACAAATCTGAAAATAATTTTATTAGACTATCAAAATGATTATATAGGGAATGTTGGAACTTTACTTTGCGCTTTATGATTATGCAGCTTATGTCATTTTGTGTGTGACAGTCCTAACTCAATAAAAAAATTATAGTTAAATCAATTAATAAATTTCGTTAATATTTATTTTGTAAATATTTATTTAGTACTATACGAATGAATATACGTATATTAAACTATATTTTAAGATCTAGCTAAATTTTAAAATACTTCAGCAAACTCATTTTTTCCGTGTAAATAAATATTAGTATAATACTATTGGAAAAAATATAATTTAGTGAATTTTTTCTTAGTGTACACAAATTATAAGAAAAAAGTCTATTTCACCCTCTTGTACGAAAAGATCATATTATACAATGATGTAATTATTAAAAAATTGTTCTACGGCAGAAGTAAACTAACAAACAAAAACAGAGTATGTAGAGAAATTATAATTTCATTTGCTCTATTATTCTATTATGTTACAAATTTTTATTTACGCTCACAACGCTGATTCATTTCTTGAGTTTGCTTTCGATCATTCATTTTGACAGTTTGTTGTCACTTACGTTGGGCACATGATTGTGCTGGGCCACCGACTGCCCCAGACCTTGATGAGCCTGGAGTGGATTGTGTCCTGGGTGTATGTTCTGTCCCGGAGGCGTTGGTGTAGGAGGAAGTTGCCTTTTGATGTATGCTAATGAAGCGGGTTGTAACGCCATATTAGCGAATGCTAGCCTTTCCTCGTAGTCGTACTCACAGAGAATCTTGTTCTCGCATAAGTAAAACCGATCGCCTACACAAAACCTGCAAGTAAAAAAAGCGAAACATACTATATCGTCGAAAGTGCAGCCTCTGCGTCACAATTTGCTTCTCAAGAACATTTCGTAAATTACCGAAGTTTTATTCTAAAAATCCAATGATAATTAGACTCCCAATTGAAGACATTGGTAGGAAAAGAAGTTAATCCTTGACGTCATTAGAAATGTAAAAAGAACGCGTACTCCAATTGTTCGTCGGTCGTTCATCATGGGATTTAAGCAGACTCCGGCAAGACCGAGAGAAAGACTTGAACGCGATTAACAAATGAGGCTCGATCCTGTACTCCAGTCGACCCCGCGTCGGTTCGTTACTCCAAATCCGATCGATCGATCAGCGTGAGGAGGAAAAGGGAGAGAAAGAAAAAGCGGCGAGGAAAAATGAAAAAGGGAGGGAGCACGAAAAAGGAGTTCCGCTGGATAACGAGCATATCGTAACGTATCGAACAAATAATTATTACCAGGGTTTCTGTTCGCGCGCGTACGAGAAAGAGAGGGAGAGAGAGTGGCCTCGCACACATCCGCTTTGATCCCCGACTAGGAAATACGAGAGCGAAATACGAGAGCACGGCGGCACACGGCGCGGCATAGCGGCCGCTCCGCGCCGCGCTGGGTCTCTGGCTCGGGGTAGATACTCTCATAATCGCACGGCAAATAGAATTATCGCGTTGCTGCGCGCGTGGCCGTGCTGGCAGCAAGCGCGCGGGTTATACCGGGTTTCGCTCGTTTCCCCCATTATACGCGTCGTCTGCTAAATGACGCCACACTCCAATCGGATACCTATCCCTCTCGCTTCCCTTCGCCCCTCGCCCTCCCGTGCAACCCCTCTCTCTCTCATTTTCTCGATATATCTGCCAGTCACTCTACTTTTAATCCGGATTTACCTAATTATTTCGCACTGATTAACTGCACGAAAAATAATATGTTGCCGCTTGACAAGCAATAGAAATAGAGCGTAAATTTATCTTACTTAAATTAAATGGTTATTTTCTTAAAATGCGCGTCAAGTTTTCTTCTGAGGAAAATACAAAAATTATTTTATTATTTTAATCTAGAAATAGTCATTTGGGATGTTATATCCTAGCAGCGAAAAATGTGAATCATACGACAGTTTTATGAACATTAATATTTTAATTTTTAATAACTATTCTTTGCGAGCCTTTAAGTATATAATTCCATCGAAAATCCCGCAATAGAAAAGCGTTATATTAAAATCTTTATTTTTTTACAAATACTGTCATAACAAACAAGCCGCTATTAGTAATGTGTTTATTCTGTTGAATGTTGGTTTTGTTTCTACGTACTTTCTTTTAGAAAACTGTGATTAAATTTATATCCATATTCTCAAATACTAATAAATTGGAAAACAATCAATCAATAACATACAATATGTTCTTAATGATTTTAATTAGGATGTAAAAATACCTCAGGTGATCGTTTACGTAAAGGTACTCTTTAGTTAATGCTGTTTATTATTGCATCAAATAGTGATAATAATAAACACTACAAAGAATTGGACGAGAATTGTGTTCTTCACGAGGAATAATTATAACGGATAATTATAACGTTTTGTCTTTGAAATCACTATATAGATCAGAAATAAAATATGACAAACAAAGTTTACAATCAAATTAAACGAATTTTTAAATAATACTTGTCGTTATCGCAATCGATATTCCTATTGCGTTTCATCATACGTGCACGATATAATGGAAGCATATTTGTATTTCACCATTAGTCATTTCTCATTAATGTGGAGGCAGTTTGAGAGGCGGAAAAGAGAGACGTGAGGGAGGGGAAAAAAAGAATTAATATCCGGGATCCAACGGCAATGCTCTCGACGGTTTAAACGAAAATAATCCTTGTAACGCTTTGGAATACCTTTTTCGGCCGTCTGGTTAGAGGCAGATACTGGGTCGTAATTGCGCGGGCAATGGAATTATCGCGTTGCACGAGCGCAGTCATTCCCGCGGCCTTCCATTATGCGCGCGCGAATAATGCCGCGCAAAGCCCGATCCTTTCTCGCGAAAACGGCGCAAATGTCTGCCGTGGAACGATATCAGCGCACACGCTGCCCCGTAATTTTCCACCTAGCCCCCGCCCTCCCCAGGCATTTTTACTCTGTCATGCGATATGTGTCGCGGAAGGTTCAAAATCATAATCAAAGAATTGGGCCGTATCGACCTCCTATTTTACTGTCTGGAGGCGGGTGCCATTAACTAAAATAATCAAAGAATAGCGGCAGGAATGTATAGATAGTCTATTTAAATCGATCGTATTGGGATTCATTGACTCGATAAAGTTCTGTTTGAAAATTAAAATTAAAACACGTAAAGTTGGGGTGATATCAATTATGATGTCTTAGCGTCTTGTCATCTTTCTATTAATAATTAATTAGATAATAATTTGAAAGTGAAAAATAAAATAAGTTTAAAACCATTAAAATGGCAAAAATATGTTTTAATACCTCTCGACAACATTTATCTACAATCACACAGAGAGAAAATGTAGAAACTATATGATATAGTACTAAAATATTTTCACCTCAGATATTAAAAAAAAATTATGGAACTTTGACAATATATAATATAATAGAGGATATTTTAATGCATAATAAATTTTTTTTTGCTGATCGAATTTACCATAAAGGTAAAATTAATTCTCAATTTTTTGCTACGAATTTTTGATCGAATTCACCATGAATATAAAATCAAAATCTATTTAAAATATACTACATATATATGTATATACACATAATTGGTTTAATATCTAATTTTCAGTGTAACTGGCGCTTCTTGTACGTGTATTCAGTTCGATTTATTCATATATAAATAGTTCTGTTTCTAAACCTAATTACTTTTTAAAGATTAATTTTAACTTCTTATGATGAATTCGGGGAACAAAAAAATAGTTCACTACATATCAGAGAACACCCTTTGTGTATTATCAGTTTCATAATACGTTTAATTTTTTCGAATTAGGAATTTTCTCTTACAAGTCTAAAAGTGACTCTGAAATATATCGCAAGACATTCGCGCATTCTGCAACAAGCACTGATTATGAAATATTTTCATTCACGACTAACACGAGCGAAATATTAAAATCGCGGCCGGACAAAAGCCCTTTTTACAAAGTTTTAATTTCCATCGTATTGAAGCGCATCGCGTAACGCTCGCGCGAGCAAGTCATAAACGTTTAAAACTTGATTTATCTCTCGCTCTGCGTTCATCGCAATGAGAACAAATTCGCCACCACCGCCGCGCGCCGCCGCGGCCGCCGTGCGAACGCTTTATTACAGCATGAGCGCATCTAGCACGCCCGCACCTACGTAATTGGCGCAATTCCGTAAGTGTTTCCATTCAATTTTCTTTTTATTACGTGCTCGCTAGCCGTCCTCCCGCCGTCTCGTCGCACGCGTATCTCATCCCCCTGCGAATCGCGGGATACATCACATTGTTTATGGCCGTTTTGACACGTTTCATGGCACCCGGGAGCCCGTGACGCGCAGCAATTTCTTCGTTCTTTGAAAGTCCACGGGAGAGATCGCATTGGTCGAAAGTTATCGTGTACACCATGGACAATGTAGTCCTCCATAGATCTAGTAAAGTAAATCCTAAAGATGCCCTGTTCTATACAGTAAAAAATATTTTATATTTATGTTAAACATCTACAAAAACGATCCACTCAAATCCTTGTTAAAATTTTGTGTTGAATTTTAATATATTCGAGACTTAATTTAATGTATGTGATTAGGTTATTTAACGTTTTGTGTTAAATTAACGTTCAACACATTTCTTAATATCAATTTACGCGAATAAATAAACAAATAACATAAAAATAATGTATTTTAAAACAAAAATTCTAAAGTGAAAAAATACGTGTTAATTTAACATATTATAAATGTTAATTTATCTGAAAAAAAAAAAATATTTTGACAGTTTGCTTGTAAATTGCGTTAATGTTATATCTTTTATGTTAATTTATTTATGTACATAATGTTTGTGTTATTTTCTAATATATCCACTTGTGTAAAATTAATGTAAAATTTAGATAAAATATGTTAAAATTAACAAAATTTCCAAATTTTTGTACTACAAAAATCATAATAAAAAGCTTATGTGTATCGTAAATCAAATATGTATATGACTCTTATATGTAAATGATTCTTATAGTTTATAGTAGAATAGGATATACATCTTTAGGCTACTACAGTAGACCTAGGGAGAGACGAATCGTTGTTTACTGGTATACACAATCTGTCTAAAAAGTTTCGAGACTAATTTTTTCCTAAATGTGTGTATAAATAACATCTTTTTTCAACAACCACAATAACTTTTAATATCAATATTCGACTACTTATTGTACGATTTTTTCGTGATATCTCGAGAAACATACTGCTTGTAACGTCATGGAAAATTGTCGTGTAGATTTCGTTAGATTTTTTGTTGTAAAAATGTTCGTAATGATACAATGGACTGTTTGTTTCAAAGTTCAAATCTGACAGAGTTGAAGCAACCCTAAATTTGAATTTCCAAACAAATTTTATGGGATTAGTCTCAAGAGAAACTAAATTAACTAGAGTAAGGGCAATAAAATTTAGAATCAAGATAATATTGATTACTTTTTTTATGGGTTTCACTTCCGAAATTAAAAATATGAATGGGGGACACGATTTGATAATATTTTAGAGATATATCCAGATAAATTAAATCAAAATAATCTTTAATGTAATGAGCACATTACAAAGATAAGTACTATAAAAATTTCCAATGGTTGAAAGAACGTTCTGAGTATTGAAGGAAGAACTATGTTGAAAGTTGTAATTATAGTATAATTTTTTTTTTTCGTTTTTTAATTTTTCCTGAAGTTTCGTAACTTTTTAGACACATCGTGTATACTAGTCATTATCCAAATCTATATCTACGAGTTATCAGTTACAAATCTATTTCGCAAAATTTTACGAGCTCCAATGGAAATCACCCTCATTAT